TGGGTTGTTGCGGCTCGGGCAGAGTCAGGAAGGGTTTTGGGTGATGTCTGGGTGAGCTGGAGGCAAAAGGGTGTCTTTGCCTGGTAGTTTTTAATTGCTTGGAAAGTTTGTCGCTCTATCAAGAAACTTCAGTTTTAATGAGTGTCTGCTTCTGGTTATTCATCTACTTGGTTTTTTTCCTATTTAGAATTGTTCATTAGGGATATGTAGTATATATTTCGTCTTAAAATATGAAACATGACAGAAAAAGTGTTAGCTCACCGAGTCATGGCTTCTAGGTGTACTTAGTATTATGTCTTAGAACGCAAGCTCAACTCACACTTTTGTTTCTAAATAAGTGGAATACTCACTGGTTTGAGTGTATACCTGGTGTGTTAGGATCCCTCTGTGTAGTGGACGCTGTAGTGCAAGCATAGTATTTAGTTGCATCACCATGGCAAGTATGGCAATTAGGTTGTTTTGGACTTGAATATTAAAGAATGCTCATTTTTGATAGCAATGTGTACATGGTCATAAGGTCTGTCACTGATTTCAGTGAAAGCTATGCAAATGGATTTCAGTATGCTTTTAAGTGAAGAGTAAATAAACTGAGAGATCAACTGTTATAAAAGTTTTTGTACAAATAACTGTAGTGGAATGGTGTGTCTAATATAGGAGTTACACTTTGTGGCTAAGTAAACTTATCTTTTAGATTGTTTTCTCCAAGATAGCAGGTCTGAAAAATTCTTGGCAGAGAGATAGTGTTCTCTTGAGGCAGTTTTTTTCATGATGTGTGTCTGTTTTCCATGAACAGCAAGACAGAACTCGGAATCCAGTGTTTCCTCCAGCTCCTCCTGCTGTTTGGACGCTGTGAACGTTACAGACCAGGACAAAGCATTTCATGGTATTCCCTTCTTTCAAGCAGTCTTCTAGTTTTACCTGTTTGTTATTCAGCTGGTGCCTAATGATGTGGGCTTTTTTTTCCTTTTTGGCAGGGTTACCCGAGATAATTGATAAGTGTTGGTGGATAAAAAGCTTTTTCCATAGTGAACCATCTCCACCAACTGTTGGCAGAAAAACGCTATCAGCAAGCAGGTGAGTCCTGTGTTTCCAGTGATGGGGGTAACTTACTGTGCTTTCCTTTTGGTAAAAGTGATACTAGGCAAGTTGTAATCGCCTAAAACAATCTGGGGGGTGTAGTGCTATTTTGGTGACTTGAATAGGTGATACTATGGCTATAGAAACTTCCCATGTTTTCATTTTAATAAATGATCTCATGCTATTTCATGTTGAGCGGGTGCTAAGGACAATTACTGTTCCACATTTAAGTGATATTTATTTCATCTTCTACCTGTAGCACTTGTACACCCGTTTATGCAGTTTACCCATTTTACTTTATGTTAAAGAGCTGGTATGAATGCACTCAGAAATACTTGGGCAGATAAATATTTTTGAGGAAAATATACTCAAACTTTCTATATATATTTCTGCAGTACCAACAGTTGAACAGGACAGCATGCTGGCTTTACTGACTGAGATGCTACATACAGACTTGTTTTTCCAAGAGGCTTGGGATCTTCCTAACGTCTGGGTTCAGCTGCGAGAAGAAAACAAAACCTTTAGGAGAACGGGAAAATGTATTTTCAAAATATTTTTCAGTAGCTTAAATGATACTGCTTAATGGATGTGCCCATGGCCTACCTTGTTCATTACAGTTGCTATAATTTGAGATGTCTCTAATGGAAGTTACCAGGATTAAGTATCCTGATGACTGACTTGGACAGGTAGAGGAAAATGACAGTAAAAGTAAGATACTGTATATTTAGGAGAAGCATGTGAATGCATATTGAATGACTTTGCAATAGGTGATATTGTTAAGTTTTACCTTTTAAGATACCAGTTCTACAGGCAGTCACACTGATGTAAACAGGGTTCAGATATATAGTCCAGAGCAGGACTGCTCTATGGTACATGTTTTCTATCAAGTATTTGTGTACCAGTTACAGGGAGTAAGTTTAGAAGAATGCTTGTTAATAGCTTTGCTTTTAGAAAGCCCAGTTACACAAAGAAGCAGTAATTTGCTTGAACAAAAAGACACAGATCCCAACCTCAAATACCCAGGTGCAACTTTCATTCACATCTGTGCATGTTGATATCTGAGGACAGAACAGGAGAGATAGACAAAGAACCAGTAATCCCAATGGACGCTGACCTCTTCCAAGCAGAAGAGCAGCGTTAATCAGAGTTGATACTCCAAGCTCTGTTTTAGCTTACTCTCACCTGCTTTGTTGTAGCTTACAGAGCTACTTGTTCCAAGTGGCCAATCCTCCCAGTGTTCACTGCTGTCTGTCAGCTCAGTTGTGTGCTAGATCTGGCAAAGCAGGTGACTCAATCACGCTAGCTGATGTTACTGACCAAGTCTGCCTCCATCGTGATTCATGCTCTTGAAAGGTGCTGTCACGGAGCTTCGTTGGGTCCTCACCGTTGCAGAGCAATGCATCAGATTGTTTATTCTTCTGGCTATGACTGAAATGGGTCAGGGGTCACAGAAAACAGCGGGTATTTGGCTGGATGATATCACTTCTGTAAATTGTCTACGCAACTTTCTGATGTGCTGTCACTAATCCTGCCTGACCTTTGTGCATCACGGGGTGAACTAACAGCAGCAAATGCTGATCTAGCCAACGTTTGTCCTTATGGGTTAATGGTTGTCATGGTTATGCATAACTCCAAAGTGTATCAAGTGGCTGCTTCAGGAAGCCAACAGTTTTGGTGGAGTCAACAAATGCGTGGCACGTGACAACAGAAAAGAACAGTTCTGAGAACAGTGTTTCAAGAATCTTTAAATTGACTCGCTATGTCTTAGTTTACTGCTATTGTGTAGTTTCATCTTTGTCCTTTCTCTAAGTGTACAGAATTAACTATTTTTTATACTAAGATTTTTTTATTAATAAAGATTTAATCAGTATTTGGTCTGACTTATTTTTGGCCTCTAATAACAAATTGGTGTTCAGTGTTGCTTGTGGTGTGGTTGGTGGTTGTGTGGGGTGTTTTGATGTGAAGTATTAGTAAAATTTAAAATTCCTACAGAAGTGTGTGCGCGACATTCTTCCTTTAGTCACTTTGAAGCCTGAGGTGAGGTAAAAAAGGAACAGTGGAATGTAAGCTAGGAAAGACCCTAACACCTTTTTCTGTAACATCGTGTTGTAAAGGAAGAGAAAAAGGCAGACTTGCTAGTTGCAAGAAGGTGATTGTGTCTCTCTCTGAAGATGCTTGAAGTCACAGAAGAAAGAAATGCTGTAGCCCTTATTGTACATGAGAAATACAGGATTTGGAAACCGCAGAGAAGTACAGTGACAAACTCCCATATTACTTGCTGAGCTTAAGCTGCTTCTGCCCTTATATAATCAGAAAGTGGGGTGCAGAATGTGCTGGAAAGACCCACAGAAAAGCCACTTATTTTTAGGGGAAGAAGGCTGGAAGGACAAGAGGAGGGGAACTGAATGCTGTTTGCATTCATCTGCTTAGGCTCTGTCACCTACTTTGTTTTGTAATGGCATCCTGGTAATGGAGAGGTGCCCTTGTGCCATCCCCATCATTTCTTACTGCGATTGGCTCAGTGTTGGAGCAGCACCATTGCCAACTCATGGGTATTTGTGCCAGTTCTGCAAAGTTTAGTGACCCTGTGGTCAGTCAAATCCAATAAATAACATCCAATGCTGCTGTGACAAACTCCTGAGGGTATGGGTAAAGATGGGACATTGAAGTGCTTGCTATCAAAGGGTTGTATTTTGTTACAACATGGTATTAAGGAAATATAATGTAACCTTGAGTGGGGGAAAAAGCCAAAATTTAAATGACTTGAAGGGAAGCCTAGAGAAATATGAAGATGAAACTGTATCGTATAGCTTAAATGCAGCTTAGAATAAGAAAAAGAGGAAAATAATATTTTAATACCTATCTGGATAAGATAGGTACAAATGTTTGCTGAAAGATTAATTGTAGTAGAAATGTCTTTTTCCTGTTAGAAGGACTATAGGTAGAGATTTGTTGTCATGAATTTAGTCTGGGTATTGTTATCCATCTGGAAAAAACATAAGCATCAGAAACAGGACTTGTGCCAACACGTAAGTACTAAGTTAGATCTGACTATGATCACCAAGTTAGGGCTGGAGAGTTGAAAAAGAATTTTTTTTTTTTTTTTTTCTAAAATGCACATATAGGCACTTCAATAATGGGCTTCCGATTATTTCTTAAAAGGAAAACTGAAGTCATAGTCTACTGGTCCTAGTTAACAGCCCATTTTAGGAGCCAAAATAAAAGACAAATCTTAGATCATTTGTTTTTGTTCAAGAAGGATGAAATCTTCCTGTTGAGCACATTTAGAGAGAGAAATTCATTACCATGAAGTCTTTTTTTCCCCGTGTTGCAGCTTGGAAGATGTACCACCAAGTCACATTTCTTTCCAAGGATGTTCTTGCCTGTATTTGAGGTGAGCAGTGCTATGTATTGTGGATGGACGATAGTAAGGATTAATTGTAAAGACTATAGCTATTGCTATGAAATGGGATGGGGCTTTTTGGTATACTAACCTCTTCTGCAGAAGCAAGAATGATAAATGCACCCATTTAAGAAACAGGTTTTCAATGTAAGAACGAACAGCAAATCAAACTCAATCTGAGTTAGGAATAAGTCAATTTTTTTCTAATATGTGCAGTGATAAAGACTCCCATAAACAATGTATTTTAGCTTTGCTTTGTAACCGCTTTGGAAGGATCATTTCTGTCTGTGATATTACAACATTCTGATATTTTAAAAGATTTGCAAATCCCCCCCTTTTTTTTTTTTCATGATCTTAACTAATCATGTATTATTTCTGCTTGAAATCAGACTCTCTTTTTTTGTCCCTTCTCAACTCTTCTGCAAAGGAAAACCCAAGAAGGGTTCATTCAGCCGTTTCTACCAGGATTAATGTTGTTTGCAAAACATTTCTCGGATTATTGCACTTACAGCTGGTGACTCTGAAGATTTTGACCATAACCACATTCAGCGTCCTGGCTGACTCTTCAGTGATGGAGAGATTCTGTCAGATTTCTCTTGTCATGCACTCTGTCATATGCCATTTTAAGCTGTTGTGGCAGTAGCAGATGTGAAATATACTGTACATAATCACTGGAAGACAGGTCTTTGTAATAGAAAGAGGCTATCACTAACAGGGAAGAGAATCAGATCACTATATTGGGAGGAAGTCAGGGGAAAAGCATCTTTCTTCCTTTTTTCCGCTTTTATCTCTCAAAAACTGTGGAGAAAGAAATCACTGTTTCCCAACCCTATGCCAGAAGAGAAGATTGAGCTCCCAGTTACAATACTCAATGGTATGTTCAGAGACACTCTATTGACTTTTTCTCAAAAATAGAATTATAGAATTGCTTGTAGTCACGATGGCAGGACATGATCCGGACAGAGGTATAGTGGTTTCATTAGATCAATTCATAACAGGAAGAAAAGGGCTTGTACGCTCAAAAAGTTGTTGCTTTTCTTAGCTGTGCCAGCCGCTACATCTTAAAACTTTGCCGTTTCTGGCTTCAATAAAATTGTCACTTATACCTGTAAAGCAGAACCCATAATCTCACTCGTTCAGCTGATGTAGCAGTATTGGGTGCAAAATAAAACTGTTTTGTCAGTTTGTGAGGTGCACTGAGGTACAGCCTCTGCCATAACAGAAGAGGACTGACAGCGTTGGCTGGATATCAGTCACCCGACTGGGATCATCTCCTAAACAGGCTGAGGCCAGGATGTCCAGGAGAAATGCATCAATACTTGGAATAAATTTTTAAAAAGATATTATTTGGGTTCTGTTTTATTTTGCTTTGGGTTTGTTTGTTGTCGAGTTTTTTTTTTTTTACCTATTGCTCTTTTTGCAACAAGTGAAAAACCATCTTGCCCTGACATTGAAGTAGTCAGTGATGGAGAGTCCGTAAAACACCCTAGGAAAATTTTCCGTGGTTGATCATACTCACCTTTAAAGATCTAAAGATCTTTCCCATTGCTGCCAGCTTGAATTTCTCTGTGAACAGTGGTTCAGGGGTTAGTCA